GGCATGTGGTGCTGGGGGATTGAACCACGGTCCCTGTGCTTTTGCTAAGCTTGTTCTAAGTAGGTGCTTTAGACCACTGAGCCATCTCTCCAGCCCTCCAGCTCTTTTTAAATCTGAGTCAGTTTCTTTAAGTGGCCCAAATTGGACTCAGCCTTCCACAGTGATTACAGGCACTCCAGGGGTTAAGCTGCTATTTTGGAAGCAGAATTCTCCAGAGGGTGTCCCTATTGGGAAAAGGGGGTGGAACAGAGGTGCTGTGGAGGTGGGCGGCACCACATCCGGGCGCCCTGTGCCTCCCTGAAGGGCATCCATCGGGGAGGTTCGGAGGGGGCAGCGAGGGGTGGATCCGGGCGGCTTTACCACGAGTGAAATCTGGTTGGTGGACACCACAGACTCTGGGTTGGAGGATGAGGAGGAGGAAGACGACGAGGAGGAGGACACGGAGTTGCCTTCAGAGACCCTCTTCCTCTTGCGCTTGGGGACGCTGTCTCGGGCTGTCAGGAGAAAGAGCTGCTGGGGTGGGTGTGGGCACATGTATTCCTAGCTACTCTGCAGCTGAGGCGGGTCGATGGCAAGTTCAAGGCCAGCCTGGCAAGGTCGGTCTCCTGCCTCCCAGGAGGACCCAAGAGGCTCTGGCCTTAGCCCAGGTTGGCCTCGAATTCGTGGGGATCCCCCACCTCAGCCTCCCCAGTGTTGGGACTACAGATGTGTGCCACCACGCCCAGATCTAAAAAAACTTTTTAGACAGTTGTCACTACATTGTGCTGGCTAGGCTTGAACACACAAGGCTCCTGTCCCAGGCTCCGAAGTGACTGATGACAGGCGTGCATACAGCACGGCACCTGGCTTGCCGTTCCTCTGTGTGCACGGAGCAGAAGGGAGGCGTCTCCAGTCCCCAACTCACCTGGCACCTTGGCGTCACTGGAGGTTTCTGTACAGGGTCTGCAAAAGAGCAGGACAGGGCATGGTGAGGAAATGGGCTTCCTTTCTTCCTCTCCTGCTCCCACATGCAGGAGTGTCTCTCAGTTTCGTTTGGTTTGAGACAGGGCTCACTGTATAGCCCAGGCTGGCCTCGAACTCAGAGATCTTCCTGCCTTGGCTTTCCTAGTGCTGAGATTACAAGCAAACACCACCTCGTCCAGTGTGCAAAGCAGTGGGACTCCTCTACCTCTCCAAAAGCCTAGGTGTTGGGCCAGGAAAATAACTCATCGGATTAAAGAGCCTGCAAGCAGGAGCAGGAGCTGAGTATTCGATCCCCAGGCCTGCCATGCCAGCCCCGCACCGGGGCACGCTGAGATGGCGACTGACACTGGACATGGTGGTGTATGCCTGTAATCCCAGCTCTTGGGAGGCTGTAAACAGGCAGATCACTATGCATTGGATCTAGTAGCGAGACCCTGAACACCCCGTAGACCCTTCCCTAAGATACAAAAGCCTAAGAGTTGAAGTGTGGGTCTGCCTGCGAGGAGGGGAGGGACCTTTGCGGAGGCCACTGCAAGTGAAGTCATTGGGGGTATGGCCCCAGTGGTGACACTAAGATCCCAGGATGCTCTGCTCTGCCCTCTGCCCTGAGCTAGTGTCTCCACACGCCCAAGGGACCATGAACATCCGAGCTGCACCAGGCCTGAAAGAGCTGAGTGCTGAGGTGATGCAGTGTTGGAGTCCCGCTGGATGTGGTGCTACACACTTGTATTCCTAGCCACTGCCGAGGCTGAGGAGCGTCGACGGCAAGTTCAAGGCCAGCCTGGGCAACTTAATGACACAGACTGTCCCCAAATAAAACATAACAGGGGGCCTGCTCGTTAGCTCAGCTCTTTAAGTGATTACTTAAACAAAACAGTGAGGCTCAGGATGTTGTGGTTCGATCCCCAGATCCTCAAGCCTTGCCAGATCTGCCCTGAAGATATCCTGAGCCAGCCAAAAAAAAAAAAAATAAAATAAAATATAACAAAAAGAAACACTGGGCTGCGGCTGGGCTCAGGGCAGAGGTCCAGGGCTGAGTTTAATCGCTGTGCCTGCGCTTTCGAC